TGCCGACGAAACAAAGAAAAAAACATTAACATAGAAAGATTAACTAAGAAAGAATAAAAGTAAATCCTAAAAAGAAAGAAGAAAAGACACCAAAAAACAAAAAAAAACAAGTCAAAAGAAACCGAAAACGAAGAACCGAAAAATCAAAGCCAAAAGAAAAGGAAAAAAAAGAACCGCAGTATCTTTGGGGCGAGTTCCGTGTCCCTCTCCCCTTCGTTTGGCCAACGGATGAACCCGGATGACGCAGCGGATGATGAGCCCTTGCGTTGACGGCTGTCGGATTGCTCTCTCTTCTTCGCCTCGGCCTCTTTCGGGGCTGTTTGGGGGGCTGTGTCTGTCTGTCTGTCTGTCTGTGTGTGTCTGTCTGTGTTTGTTGTTTGTTGGCTGTCTGTAAAAGGGTTCTGTATGTCTGTGTGGCTTTTTTTTCCTCCTCTTCTCTTCTCTTCCACCTCACTATCTCCTGTATGTCTGTGCTTTTGCTTTTTTTGTTTTTTTTGTTTCTTCCTCTCTAATTCCCTCCCCCGCTTTCCCTTTGGTTATTTTTCATTCTTTTCATTCTCTCTCTCCTTCCGTCTCCTTTCACTCTTCTCTTCTCATCCCTTCCGTATCGCTTCTGTTCGTACGGTCTTTTTTTCTTTTCTTTTCGTTCGTGTCGCATTCGTTTTCTGTTCGTACTCTGTTAGCAGTTGCCTGTTAAGATCTGTCTTCTGGGTGGTTTAAAATAAATAAAAAGTACAAAAGATAAAACAATTCGGCAAAAGTCAAGGATAGATGTATTGAAATGAAAAAAGTAAAACATTAATAACATATGAATAAGAGAAATATTATAAATAAGAAAAAATGAATAAAATAGACGTTGTAGGAAAGAGAAACATTATACTATATGCAGTTGAGTAACAAATCACAATAAGAAATTATAGAAAATAATCATAATAAAACAGGAAAAACAATAGTGTGTAATATCAAAAAACATAAGTAAATACAGAAAAGATAAAACTAGTAAAAGAAAGATCAATAAAGAAAAAGAATATAAACATAAACAAATATGTAGATAAAAAAGAAATAATAGAATCAATGCTAAAGAAGAGTAATATAAGAAAAAATACGATGATTTAAATGATCGAAATATAAGAGTATAATTTAAATAAAAATAAAGTATGAAAAAAGATTGAGAATATAATATAATGAGACTAGAAGAATAAATAAAGCAATTGATGAGTCAAAAGATAAATAACAAACTTAATAAAAATACAGGAATGATTAATTATAAAAACAAAAATATAATGAATAAAGAAAATTAAACAATGTTGATAATAAAAATGATGAATAAGAAAAAAATACAGTAAAAAAGCAGTAGTTAGCTAAATAAAAAATAATAAAAGTATAAGATGAATCGTTTAAAAATAACATAATGTAAAATAATGTTAAATAAAAAGAAAACTGAACAAAAATATATAAACACATTTAATAGAAAAGCAAAAAAACACAAAAAAGATAATATAAAAAAAATGAAATCAGAAAAAAAACAAATACAATGAAAAATAAACAAAAAAAGTAAAAAATAAAACAATAACAAAAAATATCCAAAAATGAGACATTGAATGTAAGCAAAAATACAAAGAAAAGGACATCATAAATAATACTGAAAGAAAAATAAAATAAGGAACAAAAATCAGAAGAGACAGACAAAAGAATAGATATTACAGAAAACAAAAACAGAAGAAAAAGAAATTAACTAACTCTGGCCGTTTGTCGTCTATTGTCCTCTATTTTTTTTGGTAGGCGTCGTTTTATTTTTTGTCGGTTTTTTTCGGTTGCTCTTTACTGCTCGTCTACCGTTGCCAGTTGTCACCACTGCTGCCAGGCGCAGTTGCAACTACTTGTCTGCCGCTGCCAGTTATTGCTGTCACTGTCCCTCCTGTCGCCCGCCCGTCACTGCCTCCCCGCCCGTTGTCTTGTGCTCGTCTCGAACAACTCGCGGGCGGTCGGGGTCAGTCGGGGTCAGTCGGATCGGGCGAAGAGACGCGTCCTCAACGAAGCCTTATCGGCGAGGACTGTTTACAATGAGGGCGAGAGGGTTGGGGGGGACGAGGGGATGGGGGAGGGGAATTGAGGGAAGGGGATGGGGAGGGATTGTGGGATGGGGAGGGGAGGGGGAGGGGGAGGGGAAATTGAGGGATGGGGAGGGGGAGGGGAATAAGGGAGGGGGAATTGAGGGAGGGGGGAGAAGGGAGGATATGGGGGAGGGGGTGAGAAGAGGAGGAAAGGAGGGAAGGTGGGCGATGGGATGGAGTTTAGCTCTTTCGATAAAATATTCTTTTCGGTATTATGATGTATAGGCCTAGGTATGTGTCTGCGGTATCATGAGGACGACAAGGTAGATGTCCGGTAAATGTGATGGCGAATTTGGCTTTGTTTATTATGTCTTTTTTTTCATTCCTGTTCTTTTCTCTCTTCCCCCTCCTCTCTCTCTCTCCCTCCTCTCCCTTCCCCTCTCTCTCTCCTCCTCCCCTCTCTTCTCTCTCTCTCCCTCTCTCTCTCTCTCCCCTCCCCTCTACTCTCTCTCCTCCCCCTCCCTCTCTCTCTCGCTCCCCCTCCCCTCTTTCTCGCTCCCCTCCCGTCTTTTCTCGCTCCACCGATTTAAATCCATTCTCTCCCCCTCCCTCCGCCTCTCTCCCTCCCCCCTCTCTCTCTCTTCCCTCCCTCCCTCCTCTCTCTCTCCCTCCCCCCTCCTCTCTCTCTCCCCCCTTCCCCTCTCTTCCCTTCCCCTCTCCTCTCTCCCTTCCCCCTCCCCCTCCTCTCCCCCCTCCCCCTCCTCTCTCCCTCGCTCTCCCCTCCCCCCTCCTCTCCCCCCTCCCCCCTCTCTCTCTCCTCGCTCCCCCCCTCCCTCTTCTCGCTCCCCCCTCCCCTCTTTCTCGCTCCCTCCCCTCTTTCTCGCTCCCTCCTCCCTCTTTCCGCTCCCCCCCTCCCCTCTTTCTCGCTCTCCCCCCTCTCTTTCTCGCTCCCCCTCCCTCTTTCTCGCTCCCCTCCCTCTTTCTCGCTCCCCCCCCTCCCCTCTTTTTCTCGCTCCCCCCCTCCTCTCTCTTCTCGCTCCCCCCCTCCCTCTTTCTCAGGCTCGCTCGCCTCTTTTTCTACCTCTCTCTTTCTCGCTGCCCCCTCTCTCTCTTCTCTCGCTCCCCCCTCTCTCTCTCTCTCTCCTCTCCTCCCCCTCTCTCCCTCTCTCTCTCTCTCTCTCTCTCTCATCTCTCTCTCTCTCTCTCTCTCCTCTCTCTCTCTCTCTCTCTCTCTCTATCTCTCTCTCTCTCCTCTCTCTCCTCTCCCTCTCTCCTCTCTCTCTCCCCTCTCCTCTCCCTCTCTCCTTCCCTGCCCCCTGCCCTCCCTCGCGCGCAAATCAAGTTTCATTATGTTGCTCATTTCTCCCCCATCCTATTACACGCAACATGGCCGACAAATGCTGATCGTTCTCCCAACATGTGCCTCCGTGCCTTACTAAGGAGAGGCGAGCGATAATGCCTACTTAATTACCCGCATAAAAAAGTGGTTCTTCCTCTTTCGTGATTATGCGAAAATGGGCTTCAGGTTCATGTGTTATTAGGACGGTTTCGCGTTCTCAAAATTCGGATGCTGGAAAATTTGTTGGCAACGATGCATCACGGTTTGCTATTTCTATTTTTTTTCATGCACAGGAAATTGGTGTTTGGAAATCTGATGATTGAAATGATTTTGAGGAATTATGAAATAGATAAGACTGTATGAGGCAGTGTACTTAAATAGCGCATATGCACACATGCACTCATGCACGCACATATGTATTCATAATGTGTGTGTGTATATTGTATCATGTTTATGGTAAAAAACATATGTTTTATCCAAATAAATACTTGTCATATAAGCACATAATGAAGTAAAATTAGCATGGTTACAAGCATCACGATGATCATTATCACTATTGTTATTATTTTTCTTATTATTGTTACTCTTACTTTTGTTTGATTATCATTATTGCCCTTATTTTTATTATCATAATTGTTGTAATTATTAGTATTGCTATCATTTTTATTCTTCTAATGATTATCAGCATTATTGGTATAATTATCATTATCATCATTGTGATATTTCATTATTTTTATCATGATTATTATTATTGTTATTAGAGTTATTATGATCACCACCATCACTATCATTGTTATCGTCGTTATTGTCATTCTTATCATCATTTCATCATTTCATCAAGTGTAACCAATTACTGCCATTATTTCCATCTTCGAGTGCCTCTTTCCCTCTACCATTCTCTTGGATTTCGAAGAGATGATGAAATAATCACATATTTTCTCCCCCTCCCCCAACATTAACGAAATACCCCCCACACAATTTTTCACAAATTACCCACCCCCCACAATTTTTACACGCATTCCCACCCCCACACATTTTTATACCCACCCCCACAATTTTTACACGCATACCCACCCCCCACAAATTTTTTTCCCATACACGCATTACCCACCCCCACAATTTTTACACGCATTACACCCCACAATTTCACGCATTACCACCCCCACAATTTTTACACGCATTACCCACCCACAATTTTTACACGCATTACTCCCCCTCCCAACACAAATTACTCCCTCCCAACTTTTACACAAATTACCCCCCCCCCAACTTTTACACAAAATTTACCCCCCCACCGACAACTTTTACACAAATTACCCCCCCGACAACCACCCCCCCCGACAACTTTTACACTTTTACACAAATTACCCCCCCCCCGACAACTTTTTACCACAAATTACCCCCCCCCCCGACAATCTTTTCACACACAAATTGCCCCCCCCCCCCCGACAAACTTTTACACAAATTATCCCCCCCAACTTTTAAACACAAATTCTCCCCCCACAACATTAAACACATTCCCCCCCCCCCCCACACAACTTACTTGCCCCCCCCCCCCCAACTATTACACAAAATTACACCCCCCACCCCCACCCCACCCCACCCACCCCTCGTTGCTATCGCGTAATGAAATCCATCGATTACAACCTCGTATCGCCAATCCTCTCTGAGCCATTATTTGATCGGGGGAAAAGATAACTGGTTTCGTAGCGCTTATCGTTCGGCCTCGTCTTGATGGCTCTTTCGGCTTCCCTTTGGAGTGCGGAGTGCCAATTTGGAGTGCCGGGGCTTTTTTGAGTGCCCGGATTCGTTTCCTTGAATTGGTGCGGTGGCGGCGAGGGGCGTGCGGGTGACGGCGTGGGGTGAGGGCGGGGGTGTGGCGTTGGGGTATGGCGTCGGCGTGGGGTGACGGCGTGGGGTGACGGCGTGGGGTGATGGCGTGGGGTGACGGCGTGAGGGCGTGGGGTGATGGCGTGGGGTGATGGCGTGGGGTGACGGCGTGGGGTGATGGCGTGGGGGTGATGGCTGGGGTGACGGCGTGGGGTGACGGCATGGGGTGACGCAAGGGGTGATGGCGTGGGGTGACGGCGTGGGTGACGGCGTTGGGGACGGCGTGGGGTGATTGCTGATTGGGTGTTTCTTTCGTGGTGTGTTTTTTTTTTTTCGTATTCTTTCTTTTACTTTTTTCTTGTATTTCTCTTTCTCTCTTCTTCTCTCGCTTTCTCGTTCTCTACTTTTCTCTCTATCCTCTTCGTTTTTCTCTTTCTCTTCTCTTCCCTCGTATTTTCTTCTCTCCTTCCTCGTATTCTTCTCGTGTCTTTCTCTGATTCTCCTCTCTTTCTCATTTTCTCTGATTCTCTTCTTCGCTCTTTCCCCCTCCCTCTTTTTCTCTGATTCTCTCTCTCGCTCTTTCTCCTTCTCCCTCCCCCTCCCCCCTCGCTTTCTCTCGATAACTTGTTATATAATTTGGAATTGTTTGCTCTTGATCTTGTTGCACTTTTTTTTTTTTCTTTTTCTTTTTTTTCTTTCTTTTTTTTTGTTATTGCTTATCACTGGAGATCTGTTTTTACACGCCGTTACAGGATTAAGTCTCCAATGGCTTCTGGAAACCTGTTTATTTTTAAGAGAGGTTGTCAATGCGTTGGTTGAAATGGTAGAGGGGAAAGAGAGAGGGAGAGGATGAAGAAGTGGGGAAAGAGAGGAAAAGGGAGAGGGAGAGGAATGAAAGAAGTGGGAAAGAGAGGAAGAGGGAAAGATGAAGAAAGTGGGGGAAAGAGAGGAAAAGGGAGAGGAGAGGAAGAAGAAAAGAGGGAGGAGTAGGAAGAGCAAGAGGGGAAATAGAAACGGAAGAAAAGGGAGATAGAAAAAGGGAAAGAAATGGGGGGAAAAGAGGGAAGAAAAGAAAGAGAAAGGTTGAAAGAGAGACAGAAAGAGGAGGGAGGGAGGAAGGTCGAGAGGTCGAGGAAAGAATGCGACAAACAAAACGAAATGAATGAATTGCAATAAATTGTAATTAGACGAAGGTGACGAGACAGGGAAAGTGTGAAAGAGGGCAAGGATAGAGCGGGGAAGTGAAAGAGGAAGTGATAGAGCAAAATTGGGAGCTGTTTGCACCTGAATAACTCGGAGGGGGGGAGGTGGAGAGGAGAATAAGGGGAGGGTTTGAGGGGGGGAGGGAAAGTTGTATAGAGAGGAAGAGAGAGAGAGAAGTAGAAGGATAGGGAATCTTGAGGAAGAGGAGAGAGAGGGGAAGAGAGCGAAAGAGAGAAGTGAGAGAAAGGGGGAAGCGGACAGAGTAATAAATAAGGGGAGGGAAAAGAGGATATGTAGATTGAGAGGAAGTGGATGATTGAAGAGGAAATACAAGCTAAAAAGGGGGGAAAGGAGGGGAAACAGAGAGCTAGATGAAGAAAAGAGAGAAAGAAGGGAAGGAGTAGTAGATAAGAGAATATGTAGATGGAGAGGAAGTGGATGATAGAGAAAATGCAAACTTAAAAAAGAGAGGGAGAGAGAGAGAGAAGGAAGAATGGTGAGATAGCAGCAGATCAGTGAGAAAGAGAATATGTAGACGGAATGAAAGTGGACGATAGAAAAAATAAGCTAAAGAAGAGGGGAAGAGAAGCAGAAGAGAGAGAAGAGAAGTTGAGAAAAGAAAATATGTAGATGGAGAGGAATTGGATGAGAGAGAGAAAAAAGAGATGAAAAAGCAAAAGAGAGGGGAGAGAGAAAGAATGGAAAGATAGTAGTAGATAAGAGAAAAAGAGAATGTAGACGGAATGGAAGTGGACGATAGAAAAAATAAGCTAAAGAGAAGAGGGGTGGAGAAGCAGAAAAGAGAGAGAAAAGAGGCAGTAATGGACAAGTGACAAAAATAAAATATAGAAGGGGACGATAGAGAAAATAAGCTAAAAAGAGAAGAGAGGTAGAGAAGCAGAAAAGAGAAGAGAAGAAACAGTAGTAAATAAGTGAAAAAAGATGGAATGGAAGTGGACGATAGAGAAAACAAGCTAAAGAAGAGAAGAGGGGCAAAGAAGCAGAAAAAAGAGAGAAGAGAAGAGAACAGTAATGGACAAGAGAGAGAAGAGAAGAGGGGCACAAAAGCAGAAAAGAGAGAGAAGAGAAGAGAAGAGACAGCAATGGACAAGAGAGAGAAGAGAAGAGAACAAGCAGACAAGAGAGAAGAGAAGAGACAGTAATGGACAAGAGTAAGAAGAGAAGAGGGGCACAAAGCAGAAAAGAGAGAGAAGAGAAGAAGAAGAGAAGAGACAGTGACAAGAGAGAGAAGAGAAAGCACAAAAGCAAAAAGAGAGAGAAGAGAAGAGAAGAGACAGTAATGGACAAGAGAGAGAGAAGAGAGCACAAAAGCAGAAACAGAGAGAGAAGAGAAGAAGAAGAGACAGTAAAGGAGAAGAGAGAAGAGAGAAGGAGCACAAAAGCAGAAAAAGAGAGAGAGAAGAGAAGAGACAGCAACAGAAGAGGAGCACAAAAGAGAGAGAGAGAAGAGAGAGAAGAGACAAATGGGACAAAGAGAGAGAAGAGAAGAGCGGCAAAGCCAGGCGTCAGCGAGGCCTTGCGATCGCAGCGAATTTCCTACTGACGTCACGGCGACGCTTGTGCCGAGAGTGGCCGGTTTTGCTTCGTCGGTTTGCGTTTTCTTTTGCTTTTGTCGGTTTGTCGGTTTCCGTTTTGCGTTTTCTTTTGCTTTGTCGGTTTCCGTTTTGCGTTTTCTTTTGCATTGTCGGTTTCCGTTTTGCGTTTTGCTTTGTCGGTTTCCGTTTTGCGTTTTCTTTGCTTTGTCGGTTTTCCCGTTTCTCCTTTGGGTTTTTCCGTTTTCCGTTAGGTTTGTCGTGTTTTTTGTTTTGAGTTTTCTTTTTTAGGGATTTTTCTTTGTTTTGTCTATTACCGTTTTGCGTTTTCTTGTTTTGGGCTTTTCCTTTGCTTTGTCGGTTTCCATTTTGCGTTTTCTTTGGATTTTCCGTTTTCCGTTAGGTTTGTCGTGTTTTTTGTTTTGCGTTTTCTTTTTTAGGGATTTTCCTTTGCTTTGTCTATTACCGTTTTTGCGTTTTTCTCTGGGGATTTTCTTTGCTTTGTCTTTACCGTTTTGCGTTTTCTCTGGGGATTTTCTTTTGCTTTGTCGGTTTCCGTTTTGCGTTTTCTTTGGATTTTTCCGTTTTCCGTTAGTTTTTTTTTTTTCGTTTTTTTATTATTTAGAGTTGCTAATGTTTATAAATTTTGTGTTTTATAACCCGTTCTTAAATGCGTTTTAAATAAAGTCAGAAGGGTTTGTGTTGAAAAGAAGAGAAAAAGGAGAAAGAGAAGAGAAGAGAAACGAAAAGGTCACGGTGTTGCTGTTTTTTGAATTTTGTTGGTTTTCTAATTCCGTTTTATCCACGTTGTCATTTCCCGAATTGTCTCGTGTTTTGCGTGGAATTGTGTCCTTTGGCGCGTGTTGTCTCGTGCTTCACTTGCCGATACAACAGGTGTCTGGGGGAGTCGGAGGAGATTCGGAGTCTCTGTCTGTCTGTCTGTCTGTCTGTCTGTCTGTCTCTGCCTGTCTGTCTGTCTCTGCCTGTCTGTCTGCCTGTCCTGTCTCTGTCTGTCTCTGTCTGTCTGCCTCCTCTCTCTCTCTCTCTCCTCTCTCTCTCTCTCTACTCTCTCTCTCTCTCTCTCCTCCTCCTCTCTCTCTCTCTCTCTCTCCTCTCTCTCTCTCCTCCTCCCCCTCTCCTCTCTCTCTCTCTCTCTCTTCTCTCTCTCCTCTCTCTCTCTTCTCTCCCTCTCTCTCCTCCTCTCTCCTCTCTCCTCTCCCCCTCTTCCCTCCTCTCTCCTCTCCCCTCCCCTCTCCCTCTCCTTCCCCTCCCTCCTCCCTCTCCCCTCCTTCTCTTTGTCTACGTATTTGTTTTTCTTCAGTTTGACTCTTGGTCTTGCTGGTTGTTTTTGTTTATCCCACCTGTTTACCCGTGTTTCTGTCTATCCACCATTGTCTATCAACGTACTTAGTGCTTGTTTCATATGTCTGCGTCCGTCTGTGCCGAGTGTCTGTCTGTGTTACATACGACCACGTTGTTTGCGTGTCTGTCTTCCCACGTGATCATCTGTCTGCCGTTTCCACTCCTTGTGTCTTCGTCTGTTTTGTCCACGTGTTTCTGTTTGTGTTTGTTTGTCACGTTTTTTTGTCTCTGATCATATGTTTCTGTTCTGTTGATTGTCACGTATTTGTCTGTTTTTCAAGTGTTCTGTCTGTCCGTTTGTCCATGTAATTGTCTATTCTGTTGGTGTAATAATTCGCCTGTGTCCCTTTGTCGCTTTTCCCTCTCCCTTTCTCCGTCTCTTCCTCCTATTATTTTTAAAATATCTTTTCTAAATTTCCCTCTTCTCTTATTCTTCCATTTCTCTTATTCTTCCATTTTCTCTTAATTCTTCATTTCCTTATTCTTCCATTTCTCTTATTTCTTCCATTTTCCTTTTCTTCCATTTCTCTTAATTTTTCCATTTCTCTTATTCTTTTTCCATTTCTCTTATTCCTTTCCAATTTCTCCTCCTCCTTCCCTTTCTTCTCTTCTTCCTTTTCCTTCCCTCTCTTTTTCCTCCCCTTTCTCCTCTTTTCCCTCCTTCCTCTTTTCCCTTTCTCTCTCTCCTTCCCTTTCTCCCCCCTCTCTCTCCCTTCCCCTTTCTCCTTCTCCTCCTCTTCCTTTTCCCTTTCTCCTCTTCTCCTCCTCTTTCCTTCTTCCTCCTTCCTCCTCTCCTTCCCTTTCCTCCTCCGTCCTCCTCTGCCTTCTTTCTTCCCTCCCCTCCTCAAGCTCCTTCCCTTTCTCCTCCTCCTTCTTCCCTTTCTCCTCTTCTTCTTTCCCAATCGTTCGTCCATCTTCAAATCAAAAAAAAAAACAAATACCAAAGACCGTATCAATTATACCAAAGAAAAACGGAAATGACAAACTCGCTGACAATTCGACACTGGACCAGCTGGCCCCAAGAAGGGCTCAATGCGATATGACTAACTCTCATGTAAGTCAATAACAAGAATGAAGTATGATAAAGGAAACACTGTCAACAAAG